ACACCTATCGGGGATAAACGAAGGCCGCAGTGCGTCGTTTATTCGCAACCCAGTATAGACAAAAGATCGATCTGTCATCACGCTTCCCCAGCGCTCGCTGTCCATCTCCTGCGCGTGCGCATCCACCTTGCCTAAGCCTACTAGATTTAGGCCTACACCCGTGTTCATTGCGCGCTCGCGTCCTTCCTGCCACACGCTCGCGCTATACGTGCACTTGCCGTGCACGCCCGGCACCCGTGCATCACTCGCGCGTTTTCTTGACCAACCGTGCACATTTCTTGCTCGATTGCTAGACTGCTTGCGCGCATCAAGTCCCGATGCGCGCTCTTTGCTTGTGTTCGCTTCCATTGGTCCTGTGCAATAACCCGCCTGCATCCACCATCCGTCCTCAACTCCTCGTACACCGCACCTCCTACCTTCCGAGCGCCATGCGCGTCTACGCCAATGCGCGTGTGCGCGCCCTTCTTGAATGTGCATTTTCTTGCGTGCTTGTACGCCTCGCATACGAGCTCGTACCCGCCTCTTAGGCCATGCATGCGTCGTTTTGGCCCTATTTTCAGCCTCCTCGGTTCGTCTCGGCCCTTGGCCCTTTTTGTCGCAGGGGTCCGGAACCCACTTCTGTATCATTCCCCTCCTCTTCGAGACTTTTCTTGTCCTCAAGGAATAATCCTCGACTGTCCAAACATTGGGCACATCTTCTTCGATCACGTGCACATCCCACTCACGGTCCTCGTCGATCTGTACCAACACCTCGCTATCGTCAACAACCACCTCTTCATCTGTACCATATCGCGCGTTCGTCACCTCATCATAGCCTCCATCGCCCACGACCCAAATCGCCTCCTTGACCTCGGCTTCTTCGGATTCTTGGACCTCGATGTGTCGTGCGCGCCGTTGCCACGCGCACGTTCTGCACCAATCACCCGAACTTACCATGGTGTACTCGGCGTCGGTCTCCTCGTCCTCGACTTGGTCGACCTCACACTCGACCGCCTTGTCTTCAACATAGCCCGCTATATCGAACGTAAATAAGGGCTCTCCTTCGACGAACTCCTTCATGACCCTTAGTTGTCTTTCATACTCCTCCTTTTGCTCGTACATCTCCTCCAAGTAATTTTGCTCCCAAGGGGTTAATTCCCTCTCCAAACCTTCCAAATATTCAAGATCCTCTTGATCCCACTCAACTAATGGCTCGAACAACATTTTTTTTTAAGACTCTAAGTAACTCGAAAAAATTCGAACCAAAAAAATAAAACAAAGAGAAATTCGGCCCCTCAACAAAAGGTAATAACCGAAAAAAAATAAAACAGAGGACTAACAAGATGATACTTTTTTTTTTTTACTCTAAAATAAAAATTCGAAAATAATTTGGGAAAAATTCGAAAAATCGAACCCCCAACAAGACTCAAAAAAATCGAAACAAAGAGAAATTCGGCCCCTCAACAAAAGGTAATAACCGAACAAAAATCAACAAAGGACTAACAAGATGACACTTTTTTTTTTTAAAACACGAAAATAATGAAAAATTCAAATAAAACAATTCGAAAATTTCGAACCAGAAAGAACAAAAATTCGGCCCCTCAGCAAAAGGCAAACCGAAAAAAGAAAAAGATAGGATAAATAAAAACACGATCAGCACCTCCCAATGAAAGCACCAATGATGAAAGATCGCTGATCGATGTGTTTATCTATACGGGTTCGGTGTGAACAAACGGCGCACCCAGGGCCTTCGTTTATCCACGATAGGTGTATCTAACAGACGCACTACGGCCTTCTCCTAGATACCGTGACTTCAAGACGCTCTAATGGCCTTCTCTCCGACACTGTATGTAAACGCGCACTAACGGCCTTGTTTAAACACACGTAAGAACTATAAGTTCCCCCTATGAGATTCACTCATCAATTCCAAGACTCAACATTCAACATGTTTATTAATGAAGAGGTACATGGGTATTTATAGTTGCAAAATTAATCTAAGCCTAATAGATCCAGATCTCCTAATCTAGGCAATAATATAAATCCTAATACTAGAATATCTCCTAACATATTCTACTACTAATAAATAAAAGCAATAAGGAAACAAAATCCTAACATTACTGAAATACTAATTGTCTTGACTTGCACTCCAAGCACAAGTCTTGAAGCTCAAGTCGCCGCCCCAAGCCAACCGTCTATTCGCGCGTGCCTTCGGCGTTTTTTCCTTGTTGCGCGCGGCTTCGCGCGCGCGCTGCTCCCACGCGTTATCCGCTACGCCCCCTGTCCATGTG